AGATGTTAGTGTAAGGGTTAGCCTCGGGTACCAGCTGAGATGTTAGTGTAAGGGTTAGCCTCGGGTACTAGCTGAGATGTTAGTGTAAGGGTTAGTGCATCTTTGTTCCTGTGTGGGATGCCTGCAGAACTGCAGGAGCTGAGTCTTCTAACACCAACAAAGCCTCTTGCCTGAGAGATGAATCTTGGAATTTGGATGCGTTTTTTGTTTGTATTCTTTCTAATCCTAGCCAGTGTATCTTAGAAGTATATGATAAAACAAAAACAAAACACCACCACCAAAAAAGTAGGTAGCATGGTTAAAATAAAATAGGATACTCACTTTTTTCCCATGTTACTTATGGAATGAAAGAGAGGCCAGTGCTTTCAAAAGTGCTACAGTGCAATATGGTATGTACATGGCCAGCCCACAAAAATTAGTGCTGTGTGAATAAGTCTCACCTCTAAAAGTTTGAATGCAGTTACAGACGCATTCATTCTAGATGTGCGAGAAGGGTGAAGGTGGCAAAGCTCCACTGAGAAGACCGCGTCAGTCTTGGTTCTTGAATACAGAGTAAGGTGGGGCTAAAACGTTAGAAATAAAGAGAAAGCAGCAGAGGACAGATTGCAAAGATCACATTCTCCTTGGTGAAGTTCTGGACTTTGTGTAGGACATACCTCAACAGCATGGAGTATATGTAGGGAGAAGAGAGAAGGAACAAGGGCGTGGAGTCCAGTGTGCCTCAGAGGAAAAAGGAGAGGCCCAAACAGTAGCTAGGAGATGAGGATTCAAGGGGATATTCCAATACGTCATGTCTTTAAACTGTTTCTTCACCAAGTTAGAGTTTATTCTTTCTAGTTACACCTCCTAAACACATGTTTTCATCTGTCTTACAGAATTTGGTTGATCTTGCGGGCAGTGAACGAGCCGCTCAAACAGGAGCTGAAGGTAATGAGAACTTGGTAACGTCTGACCATTTATGTTAAAGTGTTGAGAACGGAATGACTTCCAGATGAAAATCACTACTATAAAAATCAAACTGAATTCCTTTGACCTACTACAGCACCAACTAAAAAACTCAGGTTTACAGTTGACTGACAGGGCTGTGTAGCTGGGCAGCCCGGGATGTACTATGAAAACCATCTAAGCTATCTTAATTAGTTAGAAATTAACAGGTGGTGGGAGGCATCCGTCCTTCTAGTACTAATGTCCTGGTTCTGTGCTTTGCCACTTACCTTGACACCGTATTTCAGAAAGCTTTCCCTCCATTAAAAACACAGTGACTGTGACTAGTGCTGAGAAGAGAAAGAACAGTAATCAAAGTCATTCCAAGAAGACTTCCTAGCATCTGAACTGCAGAGCTCTCATAGGGGAGGATTGCAACAAGAAGCCAGATTTATCTGGATAGTTCTCATTTTTCATGACAAGATTGACCATTTGATTTTTCCCATTCTCCTTATAAAAGTGGGGGGAAAAAAAAGCTGTCATAAGCAAAAAAAAAAACCCAGTTTGACTATTTCAGTGGACAAAAAAGACTAGACCGATAAAATGTGCTCTCTAGGAAGATATTCAAAGGTTACATAAAACTAAAGTTCTTAAAACTCAGAGGTTGGGGGTTGGGAATTTAGCTCAGTGGTAGAGCGCTTGCCTAGCAAGCTCAAGGCCCTGGGTTCAGTCCTCGGCTCCGGAAAACAAACAAACAAAAAAAACCTCATAAGTTGTAAAGACTTAATGAAAAAGCACACTCAAATGTGAAGATTCAAAATTATAAAGATGTCATGTATATGTATAGTCTAGATTTAAAACATTCCTAGTAAAGTCAAAAGTATATTTTTGCATTTAAACTGGATGCAATGATTTACCATGTGTATAGAAAATTGAAAACAGACAAGACTGTCTGAGAAGGACGGTGAGTGGAAATTCAGCCCCACAGGCTAGTACAACCTGAGCTACCATAATTAAACTTGTGTACTACAAGCTGGGCGGGTGGTGGTGCACGCCTTTAATCCCAGCACTCGGGAGGTAGAGGCAGGCAGATCTCTGAGTTCAAGGCCAGCCTGGTCTGCAGAGCGAGTTCCAGGATAGGATCCAAAAGCTACACAAAGAAAAAAAAAGAAAGAAAAAAACTTGCATAATACTAAATGAATTATCAGCCTACTTGGACAGAATCAGGAGCTAGAGGTCCCCACCTGAAATCCTCAGGACTCAGGAGGCTGAGCTGGGGGACTATAAGTTAAAGGCTGGCCTGGGATCCACAGGGAGATCCTGTCAAAGAAAGGAAGGAAATGAATGTTAAAAGTCAGTTCACAGTGGGAAAGACTGTCTACTACACAAAGTCTAGAACCTGAAGGGAAAGGCTGGTAGCCAAGAGAGTCGGATGGAAAGGTATAAATGGGCATTTATAATGCGCTCCTAACAAATGCACTCACTGTAAGAAGAGCTTCTGACTCAGGAATGAGAACACAGAGGCAGAGCTCACCCCACAGCCTAACTGGAGCCACCCAGCAGTTGGTCTGTATACACCACACCAGTGCACCCTCAGTGTGTGAGCAAGAGGGACATGCTGCTGCACCACACCAGTGCACCCTCAGTGTGTGAGCAAGAGAGACATGCTGCTGCACCACACCAGTGCACCCTCAGTGTGTGAGCAAGAGAGATATGCTGCTGTACCACACCAGCGCACCCTCAGTGTGTGAGCAAGAGAGATATGCTGCTGTACCACACCAGTGCACCCTCAGTGTGTGAGCAAGAGAGACATGCTGCTGTACCACACCAGCGCACCCTCAGTGTGTGAGCAAGAGGGACATGCTGCTGCTTAAGCTGATTTGTTGACAGCAATATTTGCTGGTAACTAATGGAGCAGAAATAGCATTGGTTCAAAATTATTTGTCACATTTTTGTTTTTATAGGAGCCGAAGATTGGAAACATGTGTCTTTCAAAAGGGCAATTAAAGTATGATAAACACACAATGGAATTATATGATATAAAATGAAGAAGGCCAATCTTTACCAATAGGAAATTTTTTTTGAAATACATTTTCTTTTTTTTTGTTTTTTTGTTTTTGTTTTTGTTTTTCGAGACAGGGTTTCTCTGTGTTACGCCTTTCCTGGAACTCACTTGGTAGCCCAGGCTGGCCTCAAACTCATAGAGATCCGCCTAGCTCTGCCTCCCAAGTGCTGGGATTAAAGGCATGCGCCACCACCGCCCAGTTCTGAAATACATTTTCAAGGGAAAAGGCAAAGTACAAAGTAATATGTAAGCCAGGTGGTGGTGGTGCACACCTTTATTCCCAGCACTCGGGAGACAGAGGCAAAGGAATCTCTGAGTTCGAGGCCAGCCTGGTCTACAGAGTGAGTTACAGAACAGCCAGGGCTATACAGAGAGGCCCTGTCAGCAAAACAAAGTAGTGTGTATGGTCTGGATAGAAAGGGAAAAGATGATGACTATATATGGAGGTGGTTTTAAGTCTGGAAGGAAAGGCAAAGGAGCAATCCTGGTTCTCTAGTGAGGAACAGGAGCTGTCTGAATAGGGGAAAGTGGGCATGTGCTTTTCCAAGGTTTGCATGTTTCCTTTTAACTTTCTGAATCGTGTAAGCATATTGCATATTAACAGTTTAAAAGTAAAAATTACTGACATTTGGTTGGAAGTCCATGATCACCTTTATTTAAAGGTTTATAAAAAGATTGAACTGAGAAGTCAGAGGACCTTGGGAAGCAGGCATTTTTCCCCCTAGTCCTGTTTTCTTGATGTTGTTTTCTCTCAGTGGTGATGTTTCTGTTTGACTTCATCTGTAAGCAGACTAGAAAGAGACCTATTAGTGTTGAAAGTGAGCTCAGGTTGAACCACAGCATGGATTTTAGCATCTGATCCTTTCACGTCTGACTTACAACTTACAAGCAAGCACTTTATTTAATACAGAAGTTAATTTTTACATTTGTTTAACTCAGGTGTGCGACTCAAGGAAGGCTGTAATATAAATCGGAGTTTGTTTATTTTGGGACAAGTGATTAAGAAACTTAGTGATGGACAAGTTGGGTAAGTTTTATTTTATACTTATTTCTTGTGGTTTTTATTATATGGAAAACTAATGCTTTAGTCATAATCAAGTGTATCGATTTCTTCTGCACTGTTTAAAGATTTTGGGTTTCTGTGAGCTGGCTTTTTAAGCATGTGTGTTTATTTGAGATGTGATAATTGGACATATTTACAGTGCAGATTTCAGTGCACATGTGGCGTGCAAGGTAGTGGATGTTTCGATGTAGATGTAACCAACCGTCTTATTAAATAAGAAACACAGAAACAATGTAAAAGAGAAAGCCGAGAGGTCAGAGCTCAGAGCTAAAATCTCACCCTTCCTCCTGCTGTCCCAGCTTCCCGAAAAGAGAGCTATTTCCTGTGCGTAAATCGATTTTCCAGTCATTCTGCCTTCTCATTGGTTGTAAACCCAAACACGTGACTGCCTCGTCACTGTCTGAATGTACAGCCCCCTAGGTCTTAAAGGCATATGTCTCCAATGCTGGCTGTATCCCTGAACACACAGAGATCTATGGGATTAAAGGCGTGTGCCACCACCGCCACACTCTGTCTATGGCTCTAATAGCTCTGACCCCCGGGCAACTTTATTTATTAACATACAATCACATTTCAGTACAATTAGAATACCACCACATTTCCTCACTTACGAATCTGTGATGTTCCTTTGTACAGCTTAGCATTTTTATCTGCTCCTAATCGTGCGGGAGCCCGAGGTAGTTTGGCCTGCGCTCCCTTAACTCCCTTCTCAAGGCCCTTCCATGGCTGATGCCATGCACACTACCTGGATTAGAGCCTTCCGGATTCCCATCCCCGCCTCCAGCATTGTCTGCCAGCTACACTGTGTCGAGATCCTAACCTGAGCTGTTTGCTTAGAGAGCCTTTTTCTTACGGTTTTGTTCTATTTTTTGATTTTGCAAACACAACTGATAGTGAAAGAGGACAGCTCTTAAGAATCACTTCTCTCTTGTCGCCAGTGGAACCCAGGAGTCTGATTTCGGTTTTCAGAACATTGCACATGGCTGCTACCCACTGAGCCATCTCACCAGCCTGCAGAGTCCTTTTTCAGTTGTTTGGTTTTTGTTAGCATACATTAAGTATCTATAATAATGTGCTTCATTGTGGGATTTTTTTTTTTTTTTTTTTTTTTTTGGTTTTTTCGAGACAGGGTTTCTCTGTGTAGCTTTA